TTACCCAATGCAAACTGCTAGGATTGATTGGTAAGTTTATTGGTTGATTATCAAGTAGCTGCAATATTAATTTTTTAACCTGTTGTCGATAAATTTTAATTTTGTTAAGATACTCTGCCAGTTGCTCATCCGAATATTTTGACCAAACGTAGTTATCTTCAAGTAAGTCGTCCCAAGACATTTCGTCTACACCTACAGACATTATTGATTCAATGAATGGATCAATTCTCATTTTTGAATCTAAATAACCGCTAACTACAAGTTTGTTTATGTAAAGCACTGCAGTGTGTGCATAATAAAAAATGAGGTGATGACGTAAACGCTCGGCTCTTATAAAGAATGCTTTTGTTTTTAAAACAGAAAAGAGTTTTTCATAAAGATCATAGATGTGCAAAAATTGTCGACGTAATCCTGCATCAGTTGTTTTTGACAAATAAAGATTGTTGTTGCATATGTTTGCAAAATACTCAAAATTTTCAATTGTGTTGTAAGACCAACAAGATATTCGTATATATTTATTGAAAGATCTCGTACATACAGGAGTTTCTGTTATTTGATTTTCGTTAACTATGTAACTGTTATTTCCGTTGCGAACATTATTTTTAAGGTTCATATGTTTTTCCACTTTACTTGTTTTGCTTATACTTAGGACTTTGTTATGAAAACAGTCTTGATCAGTTGATTTAACAGAAACAAATAAACCATACTCTTGAAATGCTTTTTGTATATCATTTAAGTTTTTTATTGATGAAAACTGACAACTTTTCAAATCAAAGATGTTTATTACCCTTCTATCGTTTGTTTCCGGCAATAACGGTTTAACTCCTAAATTGTTCAGTAACCCACGATTTAATAAGCTTGCAGCGTATTGCAACTGAGCTCTGCCATACTTTTTGAATATTTTTATAGCTTTTGACAAAGTTATGTATGAAATATATGTGTCTAGCATACCCAGCCACATGTAGCCTGCTTTTATTTGAGAGTGTGATTTTCCTTCAAAATTATCCCAACCAAATGATATTGCAGGAGGTCTCGGACACGCTTCAATATTTTTAAAACGAATAATACCGCATGATTTAGTATTTCCAATCCATTTGTGCGTGCTCATCACAAAATAATCAACATGATCAAGTAGCTGGATGTTATCTTCAAACAGTAGCTCACAACATTGTGTTCCGTCAACAACAAAAGTAATCTTGTGCAAAGCGCAAAAACTGCTAATCTCTTTTAGAGGTAATATTCTACCACTTTGGCTTGCGATTGCATCGCAAAATAAAATTTCAAAATTGCATTCGTTGTATGCCTTTGTAAGAGAAGTTAAAATTACGCTAGGATTTTCCTCCAGCAATGCATTTATACCAGGAGAAATATAGACAATTTCAGATAAAAAACCGTCATACTCAAGAGTTTCTAATTGTTTTCTTGTTGCACCGTATATTGGGTTCAATATTGCTGCCGTTGAATATTTTTTTTCTTTTATCAAATAATCTTGAACAGCATTCATGCCAAAGGTGCAATTTGGAACGAGGAGAACATTTTCGCTTTTGAAAAATTCATACAAAATCTTATAGGTATAGTTTGTGAGTGGCAAACAAAGTTGGTCGTAAAATACATCAGGATTTTCCTCAGCGAAACTTTTTAGTAGCAAACTCAAAGTAACCACATCGCGATATGCTCGCCCAAATGCAGCGTGGTTTAAATAAACATTTTCTTTGTTTACTTGAACAAGCTCACTCAATTTCAAACCATCGCTTATTTCATCAAATATCTGATTATAAATGTTACAAGGAAGATACTTTTTGGTGTCTTCTTCGCATCGAAAAGAACCGATTGGAATAAAAACCTGTTCTTTGTCTTTGGTAATCCGCATAACAAAATGTTTTTATGAAACCAAATAACTAAAAAATGAGAAAATGATTAATGATAATGTGTTGTTTATCTGAATTTAAGCAAACTTTTAAAAGATTTAAAACAACATGGTTTTAAGTTTACATGTGTCACTGTTAACCCTGACGGAATCAATGACCAATAGTTATAGCGTATATTGTATACATTGTACAGTGTTGTATATATGACCAAGAATTATAGTGTATATTGTATACATAGTGAATACTATGCAGAGTTAAGGTAAAATTAAAAAAAAAAAACAATTGACGTGATTTTGAGTTGAAAAACAATTTTTTCAAGTTTAGCAAATGGCCATGGAATTCATTAAACTTATTATTTTTAGACAATTATTAGTATATAAATTTTTTTTTTTAATTTTTATAATGTTTATAAATTGTTAATGTCAAAGTTTTAAAATTGCAATAAAATTGTTCATTGGCCTAATGTATGCTGTGATGCAATATTGAAAACATTTCATTAGAACATTGGGACATGTATAAAATAATGAGGCATTTTACTCGTTCATTTTTTGCCTCGTTTACCTGTTGAAGTTTACTAATTTAACTATTATTTTGCCTTTCATTGTTTATATGCTTTTTCATAAGGTTTTCTAGTATCCGTCATCAAAAATAATATCTTTTAAATACAGAGTTCACACATGTCTTTATTTTATGTTAGAGTCTGCATAAAGTCACGACATTTGGGAATCCTGTAAACTAATTCAAATAAACTTTTAATCAGTTAAACTTTATAGTTTGCAATCCTTTTATAGCGAACTTATACGCGTTTAGTGTTTAATTAATTTTGTTAGAGTTGTTTAAATTATATTATGTGAAAAAGATATTGGAATCAGTATGTTTAACTGTACCAATTGGAACACATCGATCGTTGGCTATGCGGAGCTAATTGATTGGGAAGATTAACGTGCCCAATTAATGACTTATAATGTTTTTAAAATAGTTAAACAAATGACATGTACTTATGATGAATAAAAATTTATATATAAAAAACAATTTTTTTCAACATTTTATTTTATATTGACCGGATTTAGTCAAATAGTTTTAATGACGTTAAACAGTTTTAATGACACCAACATTTATATAGACGGTCAAACTAAAATTAAAAAAGGAAATCATATCGGCTTAGAAATTTGTAACTATAAGAATTTAATTCTTAATAAAACGAACACTCTCGGAAGTTCAGCGTTAAAATTATTTTTCAGCAAACCAAAGTACAAAAAAAATTATCTGCATTCCTTTTTTAAAGTTAAAGATGCGTAGCTGATGACATTCTCATTTGAAACAAATTAAACTTGTTAATTAGACTACTAAATAATGTGATTTATATATTCCTATATATTCTACTTTATTAAAGATGTATTAAATTTGCAACTGACTGGTTCTAAGCTTCTTCTGTTTATTAATAAAGGTTACAAAAATAATTTTCAAATGTCATAACATCGACGTAAAAGACAACATAATAAACTAGTCCTAGAAGGAAATGTAGAATGGAGGGTGGATTAAATGTAGGATGGAGGGTGGAGGAAATGTAGGATGGAGGAAATGGAGGAAATGTAGGAAAAAAAATCAGAAGACTTAAGAATATTAGTATAATATAAAAGTTTTGTACTCCCTGTTTTTTTTTTACATGTAATTTAGCTGATAAAAACAATAAATAAATAATTAGATTTAAATACGAAAACATCTTTTTATTAAAATAACTCAATAGTGAACTGTAAAAAAGCTTTTGACTTGAAGTAAACTTAGTTTTTTGTTGATAAGAATGGCTAAAGAATAAATACAAATCTCCTAAAATACATATATATATATATATATATATATATATATATATATATATATATATATATATATATATATATATATATATATATATATTTATTTATATATTACACAATATATTTCTTTTACTACGATTAAAAAAAAAAAAAACGCCGCAGAAAAAAACGCGTCTTTAAAACTTACTTTACTTGTTCCTTAACCCTTTAGCGCCCCGTGTAGCAGATCTGCTACATAACTTTAAAAACCTTTTACAGTTGTCCTGTCAACAAAGTGATCTTAAAAACAACCATTGTAGCATATTTACAACATAATTTTGTTGATCCGATTTTCCCAGGTTCATATAATTGGATGTTCAAGGCAAAAAACCACATCAAAATTGTATTTCTAAAAATCGATTAATCGCGGTCGAACTAATGTTATTTAAAGTAAGTTTTCTCCTGTTTTTTATATATATTAAAGCTTTTTTGTTTATTTTCTTGTAAATTGATAACATATGTATGTTTTATGAGTATATGAATGAGTTTACTCTTTTTTAATCTAACACAAAATGCTTTCTGAACTTATATGTATCATATAAGCTACAATGGGCTTTAAAGTATATATATATATGTAAATATATATATACTTATATGTACGTATATATGTCTATATATCTATATATCTATATATATATATATATATATATATATATATATATATATATATATATATATATATATATATATATATATATTTATATATATATATATATGTATATATATATATATATATGTACATATATATGCATATATATATATATATGTACATATATATGCATATATATATATATATATATATATATATATATATATATATATATATATATATATATATATATACATACATACATATATTACTTTTCTTTAGATGAATAAAAATAAAAAATTAAACATTGAAGATGCTCTAGCATACATTCTAGATGGTGAAAGTGATTTTGAGGATCTGAGTGAGTCAGACTCTGATTTTGAACCTGATCTTTCGACTGCAGTTGTAAGCAGTACTAAAATTGTGCATGATAACAACAATGCCAATATACCTTTACCCATTTCGGAGTCTCTTACCCAAGAAAGCAGTACAGACGATGATATGTTTTGTTTCAACTCCTCACCTCCACCCAAAAAAATTAAAAATAATGAAAATAAATAGAGTTTAAGAGTTTTGCCACTTTGGAAAAAAGTTCCACTTGATAATGACTTGATTGGTGATATTACTTTTCAAGAAGTACCTATTGAACCTATTCCAGATGAAACTACCACTCCATACGAATATTTTAAAATGTTTGTTGATGACAATCTTATCGACATTCTTGCTGAACAATCTAGTTTATATAGTTGCCAGTCATCAGGTACAAGCATTTGTGTCACATCCAATGAAATAGAATCGTTTATTGGTGTTTATTTTCGTATGGGTCTTGTGAAACTACCATCAGTGAGATCTTATTGGGAAACCTTTATGAATTATGATGGAGTAAGCTTAGTATTATCAAGGAATAGATTTCTTTCTATTCTTCGCTATTTACACTTTGTTGACAATTTAAAAGTAACAGATGAAGTAAAGAAAAATGATCGGGCCTGGAAATTAAGACCTTGGTTGGAAAAACTGAGAGAAAATTTCTTAAAAGTTTCTCCTGAAGAAAATCAATCAGTTGATGAGATAATGGTTGCCTTCAAAGGAAGGTCATTTTTGAAGCAATATGTCCCAAATAAACCCAATAAGTGGGGGTTTAAACTTTGGGGTAGATGTGGTGTCAGCGGGTATTTGTATGACTTTGATTTATATCAAGGAAAAGAAATAAAAAAGAAAGATGAATATTCTCCTCATGGTATTGGGGCATCTGTTGTAATCAAAATGACCTCAACTTTGCCAGAAAATCATAATTTTAAAATATTTGCTGATAATTATTTTTCTTCTTTGCCTTTGCTAGATGAACTGAAAAAGCGTCGAATATGGTATGTTGGAACAGCACGCCTTAAACGCCTTAACAAATGCTCATTGCCTTCAGAAAAAGAATTGAAAAAGCAGGGACGTGGATCATTTGACTATCGTACTGACACCATTTCTAATAACATAGCTGTTAGTTGGATAGATAACAAGGCAGTAACTTTAATTTCATCTTTTGCGAGTATTGAACCAATCAATACAGTGAGGCGTTATGACAGAAAAACCCGCAAATATATTATGGTAAAGCAACCTTACATAGTCCAGTTTTATAATAAAAATATGGGTGGAGTTGACAAACTGGATATGATGTGCTCATTCTACAAACCAAATTTGAAATGCCATAGATGGTATGTATATATATGGGCACATACCCTTCTTATTGCGTTATCAAATGCATGGTTTTTGTATCGTCGGGACTTAAAGTAAGGTTTAAAGAGAATGTTGTTCCGTAAAGTAAGGTTTAAAGAGAATGTTGTTCCGTAAAGTAAGGTTTAAAGAGAATGTTGTAGAACGCAAGTTTAGCATAGATGACATGAAAAAATGATATCAAAAAATATATCCTTATATACAAAAAGTCTTTAGGTTCTAACTACAGCAATAAACTAGTTTTTAACAGAAATAAACAAATTTTTGGAGTAAAAGATGAAAAAAATCAAGTTTTCTTCAACTTGCATCCAAAGCTCAACATAATTATTGGCGTACAAAAAAAATAAACACTGCCCATCATCAAAAATCAAAAACCAGCAGTGATCTATTGGTTGTAAGGTTTACCGAAAAGACAACTAGAGTTGTCTCTACAAACACCTGAAGCAACTAGCTTTGCCTGATCAACTGTTTTCAACCGACCACAGTAAGAGAATTCTTTCAAAGTTTCAAAATAGTAAAAATGTAATATAAATTTTATCTTACCGTATACCTTACTATAATTTGATCCATAAACTATTTATGAAACTGTTTTAAGAACCTTTTAAAATCTAGTAAAAGTTTTAGCAGTAAAGGAAGTAAATAAACAAAAAGAATTATTGGCCAAAAAAGAAATAATATTAAACAGTGGTAAGCATGTTGTGCTTGGTATGCAATTGAAAAATCTAGTCCTCGATTCTTTAGTTTTCCTTGGCTTAAATTTCAAGATTATATGATAAAGGTATACTTGGAATTTACAAAAAACTTTGCTGTTAATTCAGTTATTAAAGTGCTCTAAGACCTTACGGCCTCATCACAGACAACTGCAGAAGACCACATAACTAAAAACTTCACCACTCCTTTCCTTACCATTGTTATTTATCTTGACAGAACCGGTATTGAACCTAAGCTCTAGCCGAACCTCTAGGTTTTGAGCCAGATCTCTTATCATTGCGTTTTTTTTTTTTTTTTTTCCATAAAAGTTATTTTATTATTAAAACTTGTAATTGCAATGCTAAGTATTTTTTTGTAATTGCAATGCTAAGTATAATTGTTCCTATAAATTTGCAACCATTAGATAACACTGTTGTCGGACCGTTGAGAAGGTTCTACAATGCTACATGTTAAAATTGATCGTCGCAAACTAAGACTAACAAACATTTTTAATACTGTTTCAATCGTTCGCAATCCATATACAAAAGCTTTCTCCATATCTAATATACAGACAGTGTTTCAAGTAGCGGACATTACCCCAGTGGGCACATAACTTAAAAAAGACGTCTTTTAAACGTCTTTTGAACGTTTTGTATGTCTTTTGAACGATCAAGCATATTTTAAATTATTTTACCGGAGCTGGAGCATTACAAAGTACAATTACTTTTACTTATTCATATACAGACGAACCTCTCGAATTTCTTGAACCTCTCGAATTTCTCGAACCTCTCGAATTTCTCGATTATTTAAACGTTTTACACTTAAATATTAGAAGCTTAAAAAAGAAATTTGAAAATCATTGTAATTATAACCGAAAAAATATTTAATGATCTTAACGTGATTTGCTTAACTGAAATTTTGTGTAACTCTAATGACGTTTGTTCTAATTTCAATTTACAAGGTTTTAATTTGATACTTTTAGTGGGGAAAATTAATAAGTGTGGAGAAGCGTTCCTAATTTATATAAAAGAAAATTTGCAATTTTTTATAAAGCATGACATGAGTATTTCAGATAGCAATATAAAGGTTTTTAAAATTGAAATTCCAACTAAAAAAAAATATTTTACTTATTTGTTGCTATCGCCCACCTACTGGCGTAGTTAAATATATTAGCAATTTTTTAGCAAATCCCGTTTAATATAACATTAAAATGTTTTAAAATGCATTATTTGAATTCCCTTAATTAATGAAATAAAGCCAACAAGAAACACTAAATTAACAGCTTCTCTTATAGATAATATAATAATCAATGATTTATTTATAAAAACTCTTCAAAAAGGTATATTTAAAAACGACGTCTCTGATCATTTTACTGTATTCTTTTCCATTATTCTTAACCAAAAAAAACCAAATTCAAATCAAGTCTTTTAAGCAAATTTAGCATTGTTGTTGTCATAGGCAACTTCTTCATTGAAGTTATATTGATACTTCAAATAATGTAAATTTTGTTTACAACACTTTTTTAAAATCCTTCTTTGAAATATATGACACAAATTTCCAAAAAATTAAAATTAATATCAATGAAAAAAGTAATAAATCGCCATGGATTACTAGGGATCTTCAAAAATCGTCGTAAATCAAACAGAAGTTATATTTCAAACGAATCCGGCGGTAAATAAAAATGTTTATAAAAATTACGCTAAAACTTTTGAACGACAAAGAAAAAATCTCAAAAATAATCATTATAATAACTTTCTCGAAAAATATAAACTTAATTCTAAACCCACTTGTTAAATCATCAAAGAAATCACCAGCAACATAAAATTAAAAACTACCCAAAACCATTAAAATAAATCATTAGCTTTTATTTAATCAAGAAGAGATAGCTGCGGAGTTAAATAAATATTTTGTGTCGTTTCGCCCAAATCTTGCCAAAAAAATTTCTCTAGCCAACATTTTAAAAAAAGATCACTTCTTTCCCTTTATTTAATTTTTTTGAACTAACTTTTAAAGAATTTGAATGTGCTTTTAAAATGTTAAAACTAAACAAAGCGATTGGTCAAGATGATATCAACGGAAACATTATTATCAACTCACATGATGTCCTAAAACACATACTTTTGAAAATATTGTTCGACCAAACAAGGCGTTTTTACCAATCAACTAAAAATAGCAAAGATGATACCAAAGGAGGAGATTTAACTATGTAAGCAAATATCATCCCATATCCATTCTCTCCGTATTTTCAAAAGTTTTAGAAAGAATTGTTTATAACAGAATCTATTGTCATTTAACTAAAATTATTAAATATATAACAACCAATATTGGTTCAAAAAAAAATAATTCTACTGAACATGCAGTTATTCAGTTTACAAGAAGTATAAACAAACCCTTTAAAAGTTCTCAATTCACTTTGGGAGTTTTCATAGATTTAGCATAAACTTTTGATACTATTGGTCATTAAATTCTTGTTAACAAGTTTAAAATACTATGCAATAACTGGCAGTGTTTTAAAGTGGGTTAAAAAATATTTAAATAATTGCATTTCGAGACATTTATATCTCATCTGAAAAATGCTTTTCTTTAAAAAAAAGTTTGAAACTTTTTATATTATTTTGTTTTGTTATTGTTAAAAAAAAAACAGTTTCAGAAGTAACGGCTTCATAAAACCAAAATGCAAAAATTTTTTGGTCCGGTGCCCACTGGGATAAACTTCGCAAATGCACCATAAACTTCTCAAATGCATAATAAACTTCGCAAAAGTCAAAACTTTCCCATTTTCTTACGCGATACAACAACAAAAGATCTCGTTTGAAATATTGCTAATTTACTCAATTTTTAAAAAGTTTATATTTTTCATACATTATTTTTTATCCTTAAAAAGATAGTATCATCTTTAAAATATTTTGTAATGAAATTTTTAAATAGTATTATGGTATCTAGACAACAATTTTTGAATGTATCGAGACAATAATTTTTGAATGTATCGAGACAACAATTTTTGAATGTATCGAGACAACAAGTTATTTATTTGACTAAACAACTCTTATTATAGGAAGTTATTTTCAGTGATTATATTTTTACTCAAATTATTTTGTTTTTACTGATGATCCTAATGATACTAATAAAAATAATAAATAATATATTAAACAATCAAAATACTGTGGGAGAAAAGAAAGAAATGAATTTAAGACTAAATAAAAACAAAGTTCAATTAATAAGAAATTAAAAAATAGAAAATTATTACATCACGTCTATTCTAAAGATTTCTATTAAAAAGTTACAAAAACTATGTAATTTTTAAAATTCTTGACTCCTTTACAAAAATTTTAAAAAAACAATTTTTCTCTATACTACCTTGCTGCAGCCAAAACAACTTTACTGATAACATTTTTTAAATAATAAAATAAAAATTAACCTTTGACAAATTCAAGATAAATAATTGTTTTAGTTCATAACTGAATTGGTGAGAAAAAGAACAATACTAGTCCATTTTTTGTTATTTGCACTTTTTTTTCATAACTTCATTTAACTTCTGTCGATTTCTGTATGTACTACAAAAGTAATACTATTCCATCTTTCATTCATAACTTTTTGCAATAAAGTAGATTTAAACAAATCAAAGAACATGTCAAGGACTAGTATATAATATCAACAAATATATCGACATTTATTAAACTTAACATTAAAATTTACACTAAAATATTTATGTGTATCACTGACTGTATATTGTTTAACCACTTTTGACTATAAAAATAAAATAGACTTTATTTAACCATTTAAAGAGGTACTCAATGATAAATCTTCATAGACTTCTACGAGTTTTCCTTTACAACAACATGTATATATCTGAAGTAACAAAATATTTCTTATCTTTTTCTTTTTTTTTACTTTTCTTATTTTTGTTCTTTTATTTTTTTAAAATACTGGTAGTTTTTATGACAAGAAACACTATTAATTTACGTTATATTTAGTTATACTTGTTAAACCACTTTTTATAATGCTATGTTATGCGTGGTATTATTATGTTATATTTTTTACATTGCATCATATATTATGTCATTTAGCTAAATTGTAACGATGTGTAAATTTATTAAAGATGTAAAAAAAAAAATTACCAGAGTGCGCCTGTCTATAAAATGTCAGTTTAGTACAAACGTATATAATTGATAAATAATTAAGGTTATTGTTTTGTTTAACTTGAGTTAAATAATTAATTAACGATTTTTTGAATTGTTGTTGGAAAATTCTGTTTAATAATCATGACTGATTCAGAAACAACATTTAATGAAGAAAATAAATCGCTAATAAAAGGAAAAAACGTAAAGCGAATCCTCAAACCTGGAAAAGACAAAAGATAAAGCAAGCCC